CCGGCCCTGAGTGTTTTTAGCCTGAAACCGAGGGCCATTTTCAGGCCCTCATCAGTTCGACCTGCCCTGAAACTCAGGCAACAAGCCAGGGTTTTAGCACAGGCCATTTCGGGCCTGTTTTCAAGACAACCCCTGGTTGAGCCTCAACGCCAGGGTCTGGCACGTTTCGGCATTGGCAAGAGAAGCCTCCTGGACGGGCCATCGCTATATAGGACTGGCCCGCCGTGCAGGTAGGCAGGTAGTTCTTAGGTACTTCCCAGGCACTTCACGTGCAGTTCAGGAGGCAGGAGGTAGTCTTCAGGATTCGGCAGTAGCACTCTAAGGAGCGCTGCAGTAGTAGTTGTAGCGCTAGCAGTAGTCTTCAACGCTGGGCGCTAGTAGCGTTAACAATAGTCTTCAGCGTTGGGCGCCATAGGAGCTAGAGCAGTACTAGAGAGAGAGAGAGATTGGGGGGAGGCAAGGGAGACTTACCTGCAACGCCGTTGCTCCAGCTTCATCTTCGAGGTACCTACAGCACATCGCCAACTTCACAGGTTAGTACCTGGCATATGAGAGAGAGAGAGAGAGTTCTTCTTCTTCCTCTTCTCAGTCCACCATCTCCATCTCACCCTCTTGCTACCTGACTTCACTGCATCAGCAAACTATGAGAGAGAGAGAGAGAGCTTGGTGACATTTGGATCTTGACTCGACATTGGACTTAAGACATTTTGACGAGGGATTATTTGGGACTCGTAACGAAGACTTGGTGTTGACAACTTTCCCATTTCCCCCCTCCTTTTCTTCGTCTATTTCCCTCCTCTTCGTCTGTGCATGATCTGGACCTGGTGCCTTCTTTCTGTGTATAGCGCCAGGCTCCCTTCACACTTAGTGATGAGAATGATGTATGTTGGGTCTGCGTTGCAACATTGATTGGGCTAGTCATTGGTATTCTAGCATTCTGCTACGCTATGTTGCACTACGTGATAGAGGTCAGTTTCGGTCAAGTCAGGACTTGTATCTAAGTCTTCACTGCGCTATAAAGCACCATGTTTGTATGTATCAGAATGTACGTTGCTTGTTGAGATTCTATTTGCACTGCATTGTCCATTCAGTCCTTTTTATCACATTGCGGATCCTCGGGTTTTATATGTACATCGCCCCATGGGGCATGTAACAGTTAATATCGGAACACCTCACGTGAATTAGGACAACCTGATCTGACACGTGTGCGGGGACTAGGTAGCTGATTAGTGTTGATTGATTGATTAGAGCACACTAGTTAGCCCCCAAAATCACGATTTTGACCTCACTACCGAAAATCAAAATTTTTTTCTTTTCTTGGATTTTGTTTTTTTCACTATTTCTGTTGTGGAAAATCGCAATAGCGCAACATCTGAAATTTCCGTTTTCGTTTTTCTTCTGAAAATTCGAAATTTCGTTCTTAGAAATCCAGAATATCTTTTTCGAAAATTTCGATTTCCTTTTGCAATTTCCCGTATTTGGAAGTTCGAAATATTTTTTTTCGAAACCCGTTTTTTTTTCTTTCAAAGCGGTATGGGAAATCCCTCTTGTAAGTCCGAAAACTGGTTTTTTTTTTTCGGGATTTTTTTTATTCGCAGTTCTATGATTTTCACTACCCGATAATCATTGGCAGTCTGAAAGTTCGAATTTTTTTTTTCTCATTGATAATTTCGCACTTCAAGGGAGGTTGGGAGACCTACTGAACTTGCAAACGAGTATTTTTTTCTTTGTTCTCAATTTTTTTTTGCAAAGTTCAAACTTTTCTTTTTTGATTAGTGACTCCTTATCTGGGCGATTTATCCCACCCACCCCTCCCCACCTACGTTGTTGCCCCCTCTGGTCTTACCATCTCTATCTGTCTCCGGGTACCCCTTGTGGCGGCATTGGTGAGTTGCCACGTCAGCAGGCCACGTCAGCAGGACATGTCAGCGGACAACAGTACCACATCAGCAGCAGGGAGTACCATGTAAGCAGGCCCCCAACTTGGTCTATGCTCACGCGCTCGTAAACAGCCGTCATGGATTAGAAGTCCGGGGAAACAGACGAGGCCTATCAGGCCCGGATGCTGCTTCTGATTACCGAAGCTAAGCAACGGTCGAATGCAGTAGTAGCCGCAGCAAAGCAGAAGGTAGAGGACGCCGAGAAGGCACGTCTGTTGGCAATCGAACAACAGTGCCAGCACGACGAGGCAGCAGCAAAGGCTGCCGATGAGGAACGAGTTCAACGTCGCGAGAAAATATTCAGTGGAGAGCGAGCTTTATTCACAATGGCAGCGGATTGGTGGACCGAGGCCGAGAATGGCAAGATGGAAGAGAGTGAAAACAAGATCGCTCTCCTCCTCTCCCATCTCACGGACCTCCTAGCAACATGCATTACACAGCAAGAGGACATCCACAGCCTCGACGGTGCGTTGCCTCAAGTCCACAGCCGCTTCCGGCAGCTGCAGCAGCGACCCGTCGCCGCCCCCGATGCCAGCTCTTCCAACACCTCCGATCGCCTCGAGGCATTGGAGATTGACGTCGGCTCCCTCACGGACGGCGTGCAGTTACAGCAAACCCCAACGCAACAGTTGGAGTAGCGGAGCTGTACTGCCGCCAACCACTCGAGCTCGAAACCGTGCGAGACAACTCCAAAGTTCGATAGGCAGGAGATCTTCTGCGACTCGACGAAGACGGACCCGATTCCATGGTTCCGCAAGTTCGAGCTCAAGTTGAAGCTACACTACGTCAGCGGGCACAAGCATCACGTGTACTTATACTCCCGCTCGGGGGGCACGTGCCAAGCATGGCTGGACAATCTCCTGTCCAAGTACGGAGTGGTAGCTGCCGACTTGCATACCAAGATCAGTTGGGATGATCTAAAGGCGGCGTGACATAAGCGGTTCCAAGTAGAGCCGTCGGAGATCAAAGCAATGGACAAGCTTATGGTCTTCGAACAAGGCACGCTGCCGAGTGTTGACTGGATTGCCGAGTACCAACGCTTGACATCCGTCCCAGACATTCAAATGGGCTTCAAAGCCATCAAACGCTACTCCATCTCGAGGTTGTGTCCGGCGTTGGGCAATGCCTTGACTCACGTTGAGGACACCCTGACGACACTGGCAAAACTCTTCGACAAGGCTGCGCAGATTATTGTCACGAACAAGGAGGCCAAAAATCTCCAGCGTTCGTCTGCGCCAGGCTTGAGCAGAGATCAGCATCGGCTGAAAGTGGTCGTGGTCGCGGCAGCAACGCCAAACGACCAAACTAGCGAGGCTGTGTCTGCCAATGAAGGGGATAGACTCGTAACTGCCCGAGAAGGTGGCCGCCCCGGCAAAGGCCGAGGACGTGGCAAGGCGAAGATAAACACCGCATCTAGCCCCGGGCCCGGCGCACCAGCCCCAGCCCCATGGTCCCGTTACGGTCTCTCCGAGCAAGCATACAAGGCACGCACGAGATTCCGCTATTGTCTGTGGTGTAATAGCGATCTCCACGACACAATGACCTACCAGTCGAAAGGCAAGGGAAAATCGGGAAACTGAGCACCGTCGGGAGTGACTCGACGACACTCTCGACGCCTTCGGAACTGGTCACTTCGCGGGTGACTGCCCTTCGTTCCGAGGCACATGCAGAAGTCGATAGTCCTCCTCTTCTTTATTCTTTTGAGGACTATGTTGTCCGGCTCGTTCCTATGTTGGGTACTCATGCTCAAGGACAAGACGTGTGTGCGGTATCTTCTTCGTCCGACAACAACAACTTATCGTTGCCAAGTGGTTCTTCACAGGATTCGGCGCGCGAGTTCAACATAGAGGTATTGGACCCGCTCACATCCAAGGATTTCGCATGGCTTCCTCTCCCGACCATGGGCCGCTTACTGGGACCGCAATGCGCAACATTATGCGCTCATCTTCACACGTACTTATCCTTCTTTGCAACACCAACTTCGCCGACGGATGATGAAGTGGCGGTGGGGGACATCCTCGCTTATGTTACCAAGGTGGCCCGCGAGTTTCGCAAGCAGCGGTACGACGACAACAACGCACCGCTCCTCTATATCCGCATCCATGTTGGGCAAGCGTCCTGCAGCGCTTTGCTGGATAGTGGAGCGTCTTGCAATTTCATGAGCCAAACCTTTATGCAAAGGGCTGGCCTTGGCACACAAGTTCGAAGGAAGGCAGACCCGACGGCGATCAAGTTGGCGAACAGTAGGACGCAACAACTTATCGACCGCTACATCGTGGCCGTACCGGTGTATTTCGCACCTCATGCATGCGAACCGGTGACATTTGACGTGTTGGACACGGACTTCGACATTATTTTTTGAATGCCTTGGCTTGCAAGTGCAGATCACACGGTCAACTTCCACCGGCGGACTCTTACCGTTCGTGACGCCTTCGGCGCCGAAGTGCAGTGTACTATTCCTCTTCCACACCCTTCGATTCGGTGCCAAGTGGTGACGACCAAGTCATTCAGGGCTACTTGTGCTTACGAGGAGCCCGACGAAATCGGCTTATGCTTCCTACGGACCGTCGCGGTACCCGACTCTTCACCCACGGACTTGTCTTCGGACCCCCTGTGTGGTACGGTTGCTTCGAGTTCGCTGACATCTTCGAGTCACCTACCTGTGTGGTGCCGGATCGGCTGATCTCTCACGAGATCATTCTCGAGGCCGGTGCTGTGCCGCCGAAAGGTTGCATTTATCGCATGAGCGAGGAGGAGCTTATGGTACTCCGCGCGCAACTCGATGATTTGTTGGACAAGGATTGGATCCGCCCTAGTAGCTCTCCATACGGAGCGCCAGTTTTCTTCGTACGGAATTAGAACAAAGATCTACGATTGTGCATCGACTACCGCGAGCTCAACGCGCAAACCGTCAAGAATGTGGGGCCTCTTCCTCGCATCGACGATCTTCTTGAGCGATTGGGCGGCGCAAAGTATTTTTCTAAGTTGGATTTGAAGTCGGGATAGCATCAAATCTCGATTCGACCGAACGATCGTTACAAATCCGTGTTTAAGACGCGGTATGGGCATTTTGAGTGGGTGGTCATGCCTTTTGGCCTCACTAACGCCCCGACGACCTTCCAAGCGGCAATGACCAACGAGTTTCGTGCGATGTTGGACCGGTTCGTGCTGGTCTACTTAGACGACATTCTTGTCTATAGCCGGTCATTGGAGGATCATCTTGAGCATCTTCGACGAGTGTTGGAGAGGCTCCCCCGCGCCAAGTACAAGGTCAGCCGCTACAAGTGCGAATTTGTCCGGCAAGAGTTGGAATACTTGGGCCATTTTGTCACACCGGAAGGCATCAGTCCGCTATCGGACAAGATTCAAGCCATCCAAGAGTGGTCGGAGCCGCGGAACATCACGGATGTCCGTTCGTTCCTTGGCCTTGCCGGCTACTACCAACGTTTTATCAAGGGATACTCGAAGATCGTGGCCCACTTGACCAAGCTTCAATGCGAGGATCGACCGTTTGACTTCGGGGAGGATGCGCGAGAATCATTTTTTGCTCTCAAAGCCGCGCTATTATCTGCGGAGGTCTTGCGCATATACGATCCACTATTGCCAACGCACGTCACTACGGATGCGTCCGGCTATGGCATTGGTGCCGTCCTCGAGCAACACGATGGCGTGGACTGGCACCCGGTCGAGTACTTCAGAAAGAAAGTCCCCGTCGTGCATTCCATTGATGATGCACGCAAGAAGGAGCTCCTCGCCTTCGTTCACGCGCTCAAGAGGTGGCAGCACTTCCTCCTTGGTCGAAGCCAATTGTGATGGGTAACAATAATCCGTTGGTCTTTTACAAGACCCAAGACACCGTCAACAGGACCATCGCTCGATGGATGGCTTTCATCGACCAGTTCGACTTCTTTCCCGATCACATTCCGGGGAAGTCGAACTGTTTTGCGGATCCTCTTTCACGGCGTCCGGATCATTGTACCGCGGTCTATTCAAGCTTCGAGATCGACAACGACCTGCGAGACAGCTTCATCCGCGGCTACCAAGCCGACCCCGAGTTTCACGACAAGTACGCGAATTGCTCCTCTCCTAATCCGGCGCCTTCTCACTACCGGATCCAAGAGGGGTACTTTCTTGTCCACACACGGGGGAAGGACGTTCTTTGCGTACCGAGTGACTCTCACTTGCGTACACGGCTTCTTGGCAAGTTCCACGATGCTCCCGCCACCGGACACTTCGGAGTCAATCGCACGATTGGCCGACTTCGCGAGCGATTTTGGTGGCCCGGCCTTCTCAACGACGTCACACGCTATTGCGAGTCATGCGAGGTTTGTCGACACTGCAAATCCCGCAACCATCATCCGTACGGCGAGTTCCGACCGCTACCGGTCCGCTTGCGCCGAAGGGGAGCGATTGTCATGGACATTAACGGGCCGTTACCCAAGCACAAGACCGGTGTGGATGAGATTCTCATGGTGGTCGACCGACTCACCAAGTTTGCCATGTTTTTGCCTTGCCGCTATCATGCCAAGGCACCGGAGTTGGCCGAGGTTCTTTACGCCGGTTGGATTCGAACCAAGGGTTACCCCAAGGAAATCGTCTGCGACCGCGACACTCGGTTCATGTCCGATTTTTGGTTGGCGCTCATCAAACGATGGGGCTCATCTCTCAAGCCAAGTTCGGCTCGCCACCCCCAAACCGATGGCCAAACGGAGAGGGCGCATCATACCGCACAGGTTCTCCTTCGCACTCTCATCCGCCCCGACCAAAAGGATTGGGTTGAGCGGCTGCCGGATGTCGAGTTGGCCTACAACTCGTCCATCCACCAGGCTATCGGGATGTTGTCCTTCGAGTTCTAGCACGGCTCGGCGGTCACTTCGCCGTTGGATACAATCATTCCACGAACGACCGAGAGCCACGACCATCTTCTTTTCTTGCGTCAGATGCAAGAGCTACTTGTCAAGGCACGCGACCAAATGACCAAGACGCAGCAACGCATGAGCCAACAGGCCAATCGCCAGCGTCTTCCTTGCCCATTCCGCGTCGGCGATCTCGTTTGGGTTTCCACCGCGGAATTCAGCCTTGAACAAAATATCTCTCGCAAACTCCTCTCGAAATGGATGGGGCCCTGGCCGATCATGGCACCCGCTGGGGATGCACCCAAAGGACCTTCCTTCACCATTAAGGTGCCCGCCCACTTGCCCGTCTACCCAGTCTTTCATTGCTCCAAGTTGGCTCTTTACACGCCAGCGGAACATGACGATTTTTCCGGGCGACGATCGCAAGACCCACCCTCTATGGACGGTTTTCAGGAGGTCGGCAACATCATCTCCCCGTGACGCTACAGCAACAGGCCAACCGAGTACTTGGTACATTTTGCGTACTGCACTCACAAAGCTTACCGTTGGTTGATCCGTGCGGAACTCCAAGCAACAGCTCCGGATGTTCTTGCACGCTACGAACGCAAAATGCAAGGCAAGCCGATATCTTCGGCTCCACGTCGCACCCTCGTCCAGGTTCCCCCTTCAGATCGTCAACTTCGCCCTCGACCCGGCTTGACTTCATAAGGAGGGGGGGGTGTTACATGCTGCGCCTGCAACAGGCTGCACGGGCCATTTCCAGGCCCGTGACGTTTTCAGGCCAAAAGCCTGAAAACAAGGGCCTACAGGCCCTGTGTCGTTTCAGGCTAAATCAAGGCCTTTCCGACCCTGAGTATTTTCAGCCTGAAATTGAGGGTCATTTCTGGACCCTCATCAATTCGACCTGCCCTGAAACTCGGGCAACAAACCAGGGTTTTAGCACAGGCCATTTCGGGCCCGTTTTCAAGACAACCCATGGTTGAGGTTCAACGCCAGGGTCTGGCACGTTTCGGCATTGGCAAGAACAGCCTCCTGGACGGGCCAACACTATATAGGACTGGCCCGCCCTGCAGGCAGGCAGGTAGTTCTTAGGTACTTCCCAAGCACTTCACGTGCAGTTCAGGAGGCAGGAGGTAGTCTTCAGGATTTGGCAGCAACACTCTGGAGGAGCGTTGCAGTAGTAGTTGTAGCGCTAGCAGTAGTCTCAGCGCTGGGCGCTATTAGCGTTAGCAGTAGTCTTCAGCGTTGGGCGCCATAGGAGCTAAAGCAGTACTAGAGAGAGAGAGAGATTGGGCGGAGGCCAGGGAGACTTACCTGCAGCGTCGTTGCTCCAGCTTCGTTTTCGAGGTATCTGCAACGCAGCGCCAACTTCACAGGTTAGTACCTGGCATATGAGAGAGATAGAGAGTTCTTCTTCTTCGTAGATAGCTGTCCAGGGACTGCTTGTGTTAGGGTTTCTCTAAGCACTTCCCTCACAAGAGTGGCAGAAGAATTGAAGGAGAGAATGCCTGCCTAGGCCAAAATGAAGAAAGATGGAAAAGGACAGCTAGTGCTAGTAGATGTAGAGGTTTTTAGAGGCCGAGTAGGGGCCCTTATAGACAGTGGGGCCACCCGTAGTTATATTAGTTGTAAAGCGCTATAGAAGCTGAAGCCGAATTTGAAGGTCCAAAAGTTAGAGGAACCTATAGTCAACGTTCTCACAGACAATCGTACGATGCAAGTCGAGGATTATGTTGAGGGAGTCTAGGCTTATTTCCGCCTAGAGAAAGATTGGAAGGTGGAAAAAGTTCTCCATTCCCCGACTCTCCTCGTAGAAGATAATCTCCCGTTTGATATAGTCTTAGGAATGGACCGGGGAGAGGCAACAGGGGCCACACTCTATTTGAGAGAGCGTAAGTGTAGGTTCCCTAGTTCGTCAGGTGAAGTTAAGACTGCTGGCCTGTTTCATGCGTCAGGGGTAGATAACCCCTTAGCACATTGCTGCCTCAAAGCTCCTGCATTCGCAAGGTTAGTAAAGAAGGAGCAACTAGAAGAACAGGTTTTCGTAGCCTATGTTAGGCCTGTCACTGAGCCTAAAACTGAAGAGTCCATAGACCCTTGTATTGCCAAGCTACTAGAGGAATATACCGATCTGTCTGAGCCGCCTACAGGAGTAGTGTCGCGGCCGATCCAGCATCGTATTGAAATAGAGCATGGCAGTAGAACTCCCAAAGGAGCTGTGTATATAATGTCCCCAAAGGAGTTAGAGGACCTACACAAGCAGATAGATGAGCTCCTCAAAAAGGGTTGGATTAGGCCCAATTCGTCTCCTTTTGGAGCACCTGTTCTGTTTGTCCCCAAAAAGGAGGGAGAGTTGAGAATGTGCGTTGACTATAGGGGTCTCAACGCCATCACAACGAAGAACGCAGAACCACTGCCCCGTATAGATGATTTGTTAGATCGGGTGCAGGGCTGCAAGTACTTCTCTAAGATATATTTGAAGTTGGGCTATCATCAAATAGAGGTCCATCCTGATGATCAGCACAAGACGGCGTTCAGGACCAAATATGGGCACTATGAGTTTATAGTGATGCCCTTTGGACTAACCAACGCGCCAACTACGCTTCAGCGCTGCATGAATGACTTGTTTAGGTCGTGGTTAGATAGATTTGTAGTGGTCTACTTAGATGACATTCTAGTGTTTAGCAAGGGCCATCTGAAGCAGGTCTTGGGGAAGCTGAGACGAGCTAACTTCAAGATCAATGCGAAGAAGTGTGAATGGGCCAAGACACAAGTTTTATACCTGGGCCACGTCCTAGATGGAGATGGCATAAAGCCTGAGGACAGTAAGATAGCAACGATTAGAGATTGGCCGACGCCCCGCACATTGACAGAGTTGCAGTCGTTCCTAGGCCTAGCCAATTATTATAAAAAGTATGTGAGGAACTTCTTTACCATCACTGCACCTTTTCGCCGATTATTAAAGAAAGAAGCAATCTGGCATTGGGATAAAGATTGTTCATCGGCCCTGAAGAAGTTAAAGCAGGCCTTGATAGAGTATCAAGTCTTCAAGGTAGCTGATCCATCTTTACCTTTTGTTGTCACCACTGATGCAAGTCAGTACGGTATAGGTGTTGTTTTACAACAAGATGATAGCAATGGGTATAGACCCGTAGAGTTCATGTCTGCTAGAATGCCTTCAGAGAAGGTAGCGACATCTACCTATGAGAGGGAACTCTACGCTCCCAGGCAAGCGTTAGATCACTGGGAACACTACTTGCTTGGGAGGCACTTCAAAGTATATTTAGACCACAAGACATTAAGGTGGCTGAAAACGCAGGCCAAGATGACACCTAAGCTTACTAGGTGGGCCGCCGAGATAGATCAGTTTGACTTTGAGATCAAGTCAGTTAAAGGGAAGTATAATGTAGTCGCGGACTTTGAGCTCAAACCAGTTTGACTTTGGAGCAATAGTGCACTATTTGGATATAGGGCGAGACCTGCAACAGAAAGTTAAGGAAGCCAATGCACAATACCCTATTTATAGTGATCTCCTCAAGAGAGTTAAGGAGTCTCCAGAGTCTGAGCCAGACTACCGCACTACAAATGGATTACTATTTGAGAAAACTAACGTAGCCGACTGCTTATGCGTTCCCAACAGAAGAGATCCGTAGTTCGATCTAAGGGGAATGCCATGATACAGAGGGACACTTTGGTTGGCAAAAGACATTGGCTAACCTAGTTCGCACGTATACGTGGCCGGGCATGAAGGCCGACTGCATAGAGTATGTGCGCAGTTGTAAGGTGTGCCAGCGAAATAAGACCACTACGCGAGCCCTCTTGGTCTTCTCAGACCCTTGCCTATTCCCGACGGACCCGGAGACTCTGTGTCCATTGACTTTATGGATGTTGAGGTCAGGAGTAGGCATGGCAAGAGCCAAGTCATGGTTATAGTTAATAGATTTAGCAAGTATGCAATGTTTGTTCCTTTACCGTCAGAGGCACATACAAACTTAGTGATACAATTTTTGTATTATTATTGGGTCAGTGAACATGGTCTGCCGCTGTCTATAGTTAGTGACAGGGATACCAGGTTCACCAGTCAAAACTGGCAGGCGTTGATGAGAGTCTATGGCTCTAGCTTGTTGATGTCGTCTGCTCGCCATCCAGAGACTAACGGTCAGACTGAACAAATCAAGAAGATCTTGCAACAAGTTTTGAGAATGTATATTAGACCGGATCAGGTCAATTGGGATGAGGTGCTCCCAAAGGTAGCCAGCGCATACAACAATAGCATGCATTCAGCTACTTGTCGCAGTCCCAACGAAGTGCATAAGTCCTTTATACCACGTACGCCGTTTGAGGGACTCAACCGGGATCAGATTCAGAGGCTACCGCCCGGAACTAGGGAGTTTGCGATACAAAATCAAAAAGAGATTGCTACCGTAGTAGAGAACCTCAGGAAGGCCCAGCATAGAATTATAGAGCAAGCCAATAAGCATCGTCGCCCATCGCAGTTCCAAGTAGGCGACTTAGTCTGGGTTAAGTCAAAAGAGTTTGCTCCTGAGGAAAACATCTCGCAGAAACTGTTACCTGTGTATAGAGGACCGTGGCCTGTCTTGGAAGTCAAGGGCGGAGAGGATGGACCGTCCTACACCATAGAGATTCCAGCAGACCTCCACACCTACCCAGTCTTTCATGTGTCAAAGTTGTTGCCTTGCACCACAAGTCAACAGTTTCCATCACGGATGCCCATGATCCCTTCGGACATGGAGTACGACATTGACAGGATTGTAGGTGAAGATGTGTTTAGAACAGGAGGTAGAGGTCGTCCACAGAAACAGTACAAGGTTCGATTTGCCTATACGACCGCTGGTTTACCCGAACAGAGCTTCTAGAGACAGCTCCCGATATAATCCGAGCCTACGAGAGACATAAGAAAGGTAAAGGTCCTACATTGGACTGAAGTATTCTCGAAGGACCTCAAATTTAGGCCGGCAAGAGTGAAACGGTTTTCACCTTAGCAGTAGCAGATGCAGATCCCAGGGCTCGATCCCTAGACCTTACCAC